GCTCGGCAAGTTGACAAGATGCACCAAAACTGCCTACAGCTGGCGTTGGTCAACAGAATGGGCCAAATTCTTCTCCCTGACAACACCCAACCACACATTGCACAACCAGCGCTTCAAAAGTTGAACAAAAATTGGGCTACAAAGTTTAGCCTCATCCACCATATTTACCTGAACTCTTGCCAGAAACTACTACTTCTTCAAGCATCTCAACAACTGCAGGGAGAATGCTTCCACAACCAGTAGGATGCATAAAATGCTTTCCAAGAGTTCATCGAATCCCAAGACATGGATTTTTAATGCTACAGGAATGAGTAAACTTCTCATTGGCAAAAATGTGTTGGTTGTAATGATTCCTGTTTTGATTAATAAAAATGTGTTTAAGCATAGTTACAATGATTTAAAGTTAGGATCCAAAACCACAGTTACTTTTTCACCAACCTAAATATTAGCAGTGGCGTATATTTAAAACACCTGCAATTTGAAAGTAACAATACCACTTTTTATGTGTGTAATTCCTTACTGCTTATGAGGCTTTTTGAAACAGATTATCTCAATTTTTTACTACAAGCTTAGGTCCATTTTCCACAGAGCTAATATGAACTGGCCTTTGTGTTATGCACATCACTCATGTCATCCTGACCCTGGTCTTGTGCAGTGAGCACTCTTACTATCCCTGGGGTAGGGGCTCCCGAGACCACCCCAGACTTGATGGCTTGCTGGGAGGTCTCAGGACTTAATGCATGACTGTTCTCATACTTGAGGCTCATCACATAGAAAGAGGACAAGGCAAGGTCAGCAAAGGAATAGGTACCTGGCAAAGGGGGAGACCAGATGCAGCTTCCAGCCCTGCCACCCCCCCCGCCAAGGGTCACACGGTCATGTGGATGTGCCTCGGAGACAGTGTCCCGGGTTTCTGTGGAGGGCCAGTCACACAGGCAGTTTGCCTGGCACAGACCCAAATTCCAGACTCCCATAGGAAGCAGGTGTCCGGTGCAAACTGTTGGTAGGGTTTGGGTGCAGAGAGCCACTCCTACTACTTGATGGTGGCGGGAACCCTCCCCAGTCCAGGTCCCAGGTGCCAGCCGAGGGCCAGCCTGTCAGCAGCTTCTCAGGCCTGCAGTGAACTCTTCGCTGCAGCCATCACTTCCAAGGTCACACAGGTGGTCATGGGTCCAGTTCAGACCCAGCCAGCCGGGCTTCAGAACTGCACTGTCCCGAGTGAGACCAGGTCAGTTTTGAGTGACTGGTGGGTTTGTGGGTTTATGCGAGAGGTGCTCACCTCCATCTGAGGAACCCTGACAGCAGCTGTGCTCTCGACAGGGCTCTGGTCCTGCTGGCTTAGACAGCCGGGGGGTTGACTAAGGCCACCTCATGGAACCTCAGGGCAGGGATGGGGCATGGTGGTTAGACCTTGGAGAAGAGCCAGGAATGGCTAGTGAGCGACATCTCGAACATTGGAGAAACTACCTTTTGGCCTCAGATCTCATTTTATCTTCTCTGCTGGCAAACCAGCTCTCCCTCTTCTGGCCCCAGGGTAAGAACAGCAACCAGTTCTCCCACAGTGGCCAAGTTTGGGGACCACGGAGTTGTGTGGTGCCATGGCCTCTGAGTGGAGCAGGAGCAGAGAATCAAAGCTGGCTCAGGCAGCTTTGAAGGAGGCACATGTCCTGCAGGCCCTCCAGCAAAGGAAGGATTTGCACATTCCACGGGGCTGCTGGCAGCTGCCAAGGAGGGGAGGGGGTTCCTGGGTCTAGTAGGGGGCAGCTGATGAGATAGCTGCAGGCTGAAGTCTCTGGGTCTCTGGGTATGGCCACCGTGTGAGAGTCCGCTGGGTCTGCGGGTGTCTCCTCAGCTCTGCGTATACAATTGTAAAGAACCATCTGGAACAAGAACTGTTAAGGTGGGACAGATGCATTGAAGCCCCTGAAGCTGCATCCCTTTCTTGCCAGGATGGTCAGCAGGAAGCAGTGCTGCATTCCTGGAGGAAGGGCAATTCTCAATCCACACAAGCCAAGGGGAGGTAAAGATGGTGGTCCCCACGTGTCTAGGCTGTGGTCCCATAGGGTCCATCAGGGTCCCCATCGTCTCCCCATTCCATTCAACGGTCTGGCCCCTGGTAAGACCGGGTGGGTTCAGGCAGGTGACGGCACCTCAGGCTCCCCGAGAGCAGCCCAGCTGAGCCACCGTGTGGCACATTGACGGTGTCCTGACCCTGCTGCTCTGTCCTCTCCCCCGTGGAGTGTGGTTTGCACTCGTGTGGGAGCTCTGCCGTCTGCAGCACGAGAAGCATAAGGGTGGTCCTGGCCCTGATGGGTACCCACGGTCACATTCACCGCCAGCATCACTAGGCATCCTCAGGACCACCAGTCGGGCTGGGCTGGTGCAGGGAAGATCCACCAGGCTGCAAGCAGCATGTTCAGTGTTGGGGCTGAGCAGGACCACGGCAACAAGTGAGTTCAGTGCCCGGGGATGAGTGGGAGGCGTAGGTCCCACTCGGGCCACCTGTGCACCTTGGAAGTGCTCCAGACGAGCCTCCCAGGCTCTTCAGTTCCACAAAAGTGGGCTATTCCTCAAGGTGGGGTGGGGACAGTTGGGAGTGTTCTCCACCAGCAGGCCCCTGTGTGCCCACTCCTGTGGCAGATCTCAGGTCCTACGTTGCCACAGTCTCCCCGGGCTCTTCTCTACAACAGCTGCTGGGCTCAGCCTCGCATGTGCCAGGTCCTACCTGCTGACTACCCAGAGGCCAGGTCTCATCGAAAAACTTCGAGAGATACAAACAGCAGAAGCTACTCTACTCTTCAGAATTAGAACAAAATCATTTCAAAATTTTGCCTTGTGCCTCCCAGGAGCTTCTTGCAATAACAAAGTCCACGTGGCTGAAATAGGTGCCAGTGAGACTTGACCAGCACATCACCTGAGGAGACGTGCAGGGGTGAGCGAAAGGGCAGAGCTGATGAGCGCAGGGAGCAAGAAGCCACCACGCTGTCGCTCTGGCCCGCTCTGTGTCTTTCCCGAAGACCCAGGGGCTCTTCCTGACCCAGGGATCGAACCCACGTTTCCTGTGGCTCCTGCATTGGGAGGCAGATTCTTTACCACTGAGCCACCTGGGAAGCCCTATGGAATACTATGTATATTTGGTTTTGTTCAGTTGCTAAGTCATGTCCGACTCTTTGCGACCCCATGGGCTGTACCACACCAGGCTTCCCTGTCCTTTACCAACTCCCAGAGCTTGCTCAAACTCATGTCCATCTAGTTGGCAACGCCATACAACCATCTCATCTCTGTCACCCCTTTCTCCTGCTTTGATCTTTCACAGCATCAAGGTTTTTCCAATGAATCAGGTCTTCCCATCAGGTGGCTAAAGTATTAGAGCTTCGGCTTCAGCATTAGTCCTTCCAATGAATATTCAGAACTGATCTCCTTTAGGATGGACTGGTTGGATCTCCTGGCAGTGCAAGGGACTCTCAAGAGTCTTCTCCAACACCACAGTTCAAAAGCATCAATTCAGCACTCAGCTTTCTTTATGGTCCAATTCTCACATCCATACATGACTACTGGAAAAACCATAACTTTGACCATACAAGGACCTTTGTTTGCAAAGTAATGTCTCTGCTTTTTTAATATGCTGCCTAGGTTTGTCATAGCCTTCCTTCCAAGGACCAAGCATCTTTTAATTTCATGGCTGCAGTAACAGCCTGCAGTGAATCTGGAGCCCAAGAAAATAAAATCTGTTACTGCTTCCACTTTTCCCCTCTGCCATAAGATCTTGGTTTTTTGAATGTTGAGTTTTAAGCCAGCTTTTTCACTCTCCTCTTTCACTCTCATCAAGAGGCTGTTATTCTCTTTGCTTTTTGCCATTAGAGTGGTATCATCTGCATATCTGAGGTTGGTGATAGTTCTTCCAGCAATCTTGATTCCAGCTTGTTATTCATCCAGCCTGGCATTCCACATGATATACTCTACATGTAAGTTAAAGAGATTAGAACAGGCAAGGGTCCTGTGGGGGAAGGGGAGAAGTGGGTGAACTTTTTGTTTAAATAAATCATGTTAACATAGGAATACAAATGGCCAACAAGCATATGAACACACCCAGTTTCATGAACATCTAGGAAATACAAATTAATGCAAGACATTTTTTTCACCCATTAGATTAAAAAAGAAAGAATACCATATCTGAATAAGCCACACTTCTGTTTTATTAGCATTAATATTTAATTATCTTAATATGCAGCACTGTGCACAAATCTGATCTTAGAAGAAACCAAGTCCAAACATTGGAATTGACCACTCCTGAAGCGCCAGGACTCAGCTGCCAGAAGGAGCCTCCCCTAACCCCAGCAGGAGCCCCCTGAGCCCAGGGTCGGTGGAGGTGGGAGTAGGGGAGGCATCAGAGCCAGAGGCCACTGGCTGCTCTGGGCTCAGCCTGGCACCAGCAGAGCCCTCGCCTCCCGCTTGCAGGCCAGAGGGCAGGGAGCGCCATTAACCAGCAGAGCCAATGTCCTCCTGGACAGGAGTTTAAGTACTCACACGGGGCAGCGCGGTGGACACCTGCGCCCTGCCGTCCGGGGGCCGCTGCGGCCCTCGCTTGCTCTCTCCTCAGCTGCTCGCTTTCATCCGTGTGTCCAGAGAGGTGTCCTCTCTGTCCTTCCGCGCTCACACTGGCCTGTCCTCCCAGCACCTGAGTGCCGGTCCTGCCCCTGCAGCTCACTCGACCCTCTACTGCCTGGGCTGCTCCTCTGCTCCCACCGCTGGGCATCCGGCCTGCTCCCCCACAACCCTGAGCATGGGGCTCAAGAAGACACCCATTCTGTCTTTGCTCCCAGGGAGCCGGGAGAGCAGAGGGTCGGGCGGAGGCAGGGCCGCCCTCCGGCAGCGCCTGAATGTTCACCAGGAGGCGCCCAGTTGGTGGGCGGGGGGATACCCGGGGCGGGAACCCCGGAGTCCGAGCCGCCGAGCCCGGAGTCCGAGCCGCGGACGCACCCGCCTCGGACGTGCGGGGCCTACTCCATCTGCTTCAGCACTCTGGAGAAGTTTTCTAGAGCGGTTTTGAAAGCTTGCAGCAAGAAAGCTCCGAGTTCATTGCTGGTTTCCTGAATGTCCGGGTCGAAACTCCCAAAGAGGGGTGTGGAGACCTGGATGTCGTCCCGGCCGGCGCGCTGCAGCACCGCGCGCAGGTCTGCCGCAATGGCGTCGTATTTCTGCTGGTCGAACTTGGACATGGCCAGCTCGTCCTGGGGGTAGGCGCTGCCCTCGGGGTAGCAGTCCCGGGGCACCGGGAACTCCACGCACCGCAGCCGGGGGAGCTCGCAGAGCGCGGCGAAGAGGCGCCGGAGCGCGCGGCCCGACAGCGGGTTCCCCAGGAAGCGCAGCTCCTGCAGCCGGCGGCAGGTGCCCAGCGCCAGGCTCAGCGCGCCCACGTGCCGGTCCTCGAGGCCGCACTCCTCCAGGGTCAGGGCCCTTAGCGTGGGGGCGGCCTGGCCCAGCAGCCGGTGGAAGGTGGCAGGGAACAGGTCCACCAGGCAATGCCCACTGAGGTCCAGCACCTCCAGGTGGGCTGCGTGGATGCAGTTCGCCAAGAAGGTCATGTCCTCGTGGTTCAGGGCGCAGTTGCCCACGTCCAGCACTCTCAGTGGCGTCCGGAGGGGGCTGCGGCAAGGTGGGAAATAGCTGAGAGCAGGCCCTGGGGTGCTCTGAGGCCTTGGGGTGAATCCTGTCTCAGGGTGAATTCCGTCTGGGGCACAGCAGACTGCGGCTGAGGGCCACACCCACCTGCCCGGGACTCCACTCAGCCTGAGAACAGGACTGTGTTTTTCATTTTTAAGCAGTTGAACAAATCAAAATGAGAATATTTTGTGACATGTGAAAATGATATGAAATTCAAGTTTCAGTGCCCGTAAATCAAGTATAATCTGAACAAGGCAAGACCTTCCTGTACTTCCTGTCTGCGGCTGCCCCGGGGCAACAGAAGGGCTGGGTCACCAGACAGGCTTGTAGCCACCCGCAGTAGAGGCTCAACTTGACCCGAAGACAGGCCTGGCCTTTGTCCTCAGCCACCAAAATCATCAGTCTCTTTTGTCAACAGGGCTCTGTGTGTTCACAAGCTTGTTGTGGGGCCGTGAGGAGGCTATGAATTGGCAGGAAACGAAACCCTGGCTTGGCTCCGAATGAAGCGCTGGAGTGTGCAGGCTTTAGGGCAGGGAGGGGTCTATTCTTAGCCTGCCAGGGACCTGAAGACCCTCCTGTGCTCTGAGTAGGAGTTCTTGCCCTGCCCAGGTGCTCTCACAGACCCACACCCGCCCTGGGGATTCCTGGCCTGAATCTGGGGTCACCTGGCTGAGCACCGAGCGCCAGGATGTGGGGGTCCACTCTCCACCCGCCCGCGGGGCTCCTTTCCCGCCTCACCCTGCATCTGTACTCTGGGCCCGGAGCTCCTGCGGTCTTCCAGCTGCCGACACAGTAGAGTGCCTGCTGTCCACCTGCCGCGGCTCTGCAGGCTGTGGCTCAGGCCCTGACCTGTGCGGAGTATTTCCACTGCCATCTCTCTCATGCCCACATCCATCCATAAGGAGCCCTCTCCCCAGCTGCCCTGCCCCAACCCTTGTGGGGGGCCTCCTGTGTGGAAAAGAGTCAAAGGGCAGGCCTGACTGCCAACGTGTGTCTGGGAGCTTGGATTTGGGAAAGGCCCCCCACTCAGCCGATAAGGGGCCCCTGGCATGAGCTGTCTGTACAAGCCACGTGGTGCCTGCTGACACAGGCCTCCTTCTGGGATCTGAAATCTCCATGCATGCCAGGCCGAGGTGCCCTCCCAACAAGCCCCCAGTGAAACCCCTGGGCCTGGTTCTCCAATGTGCTCCCCATGTGTCCGGAAAGGCGGACCCCAAGCCCACACACAAACACGACTGCCATGTGGCGGCGCCCTGGGACCCTCGGGACAGTCCTGCACTTGTGGAGCCTTGGGAAGCGCATTCACAGCCAGACGACCCGGCACAAGCCTGCAGGGCTGTCTTGTTGGCTCCGCCCTGACATCACCTCTCTTCCCGGAATATCTGCACACTTGGGCTTCAGTCAGCTGGTCGCTGAGAGCCCACCCAAAGCCCCAGAAGGTGCAGGCGTGCCATGTGTCAGGGCTAAGTGGGAGGGAGGCAGACAGGCATGTGCCCGTCATCACAGTCGGGGCTCCTCCCCCAGGACAGGCCCTGGGTGTGTGCCCTGTCTCCCCCGAGACCCGCGCCTTCCCCGGCAAATCTGCCTGGTGTCCGTCTGCTGTAATTCGACTCAGCAGTGAGTCTTCTCAGGGAGTCACCAACCTGGGAACTGTGGGAGGCCGGCCCTGTCTGCCGGTCTTCCCGTCTCTCCACCAGGTCTGCTGTGTGAGCCACGGGATCCAGGGCAACCCTTGTCCTGTGGGGCTGGTCACCCCAAGTCTGGCTCAGAGCCTCCAGGGCTGGCCGGGGCTCTTCCCCGCCCCTGTTCCTCCTCCCTGCTCCCTTCCTCACCTGTCCTTCACCCCCCAGCCCAGGTCACCCCTCCCGTGTCTCCCAGACCTGGCCACAGCCCCAGCTCAGGCCCTTCACCTGCAGGGTTCCTGCCGGTTCACTCTCCCCGGGCCCTCCACTCAGGGGTCAGCTCTCTGCTCAAAGGTCACCTTGGAAACTGACCTTCCCTGACCACAGAGCTGTCTTTTCCCTCCCACTTAGGCCTGACACACCACACACCTGGACCTTCTGGGGCTTTGGACGACCCTCAGCGAGTGTGCAGAACAGAGGGTCAGGGCAAACAGGTGATGTCGGGCGGAGCCAATGAGATGGCCCTGCAGGCTTGTGCCGGGTAGTCTGGCTGTGAACATGCTTCCCCAGGCATCACAAGCTCAGGACTGTCCCGAGGGTCCCAGAGCATGGCCACACGGCAGTTGTGTTTGTGTGTGGGTTCAGGGCCTGCCTTTCCTGAGCTGGGAAACTACCTAGTTGAGGAGCAGAGATGGGGGACGGGGAGGGGGGCCCAGGTGCCCCAGGGAAGAGAGGCCGTGCAGGCCCTGGCCAGCCACTGCATAAAGGAAAAATTCTTGTAAGCCAAGGGCTCCCTAAACCAGAGAAGATGTCCTCACACTCCCTGGCTCAGAAATAAGAAGTTATTTTCCATAATTTTTGTAAGTATATTCACAGCTGGTGGCTGCCAAGGTGGCAATCCGCGGTGGTGCCCTCCCCTGGCCTGGTGACCGGCCCTCACCACACCGTGAGCAGCAGCATCAGCATTGGCATCGTACTCTGCAGGGAAGTTTACAGGAGCTGGGCCTCTGTCCAGAGGGCCTGTGGAGGGGCCTATGAGCCAAGGAGTTGAGGTCGCCTATAGCTCAGATGGTAAAGAATGTGCCTGTGATGCAGGCGACCCCGGTTTGACTCCTTGTCAGGAAGATCCGCTGGAGAAGGGATAGGCTACCCACTCCAGTATTCTTGGACTTCCCTTGTGGCTCAGCTGGTAAAGAATCCACCTGAAATGCAGGAGGCCTGGCCTGGGTTGGGAAGATCCCCTGGAGAAGGGAAAGGCTAGCCACCCCAGTATTCTGGCCTGGAAAATTCCATGGACTGTAGAGTCCATGGGGCTGCAAAGAGTCGGACACGACTGAGTGACTTTTACTTTTCACTTTTTTTCACTGACAGTCATGAAAATGATCATGGAAGTGGATTATTCCACTTTCCCACCGGACAGGCCTTCAGGAGAGACCACAGCTGCCCCCACAGGGCTCCTGTCTTGCCCACATAAGCCCCAGCACCGGGGTGATTTGTTACACCGACAGGTAATTAATACAATGTGATGGAGTTACTTCTATATTGCCTGCTTGCTAATCAGGACCCTTCTCTTTTCCTTGCCAACTGGAGAGTCTCCTTTGAGGCATGGGGCTCCCAGGTGGCCCCTAACTCCAGTCCCAGCCAGGCCTCCTCCCGCCCCGTGGGTCCTCTCTGGCTGCTCTGGGCTGGGCAAAACCCAGAGGGATGGGGTCTTGTGCCTTGTAAGTAACCAGGTCTGCGCACAGCCCTGGGCCGCTCTGACCTGGGCTAAGGGGCTGAGTGCAGATGTCCCCCACCCCACCCCACCCCCGCCCCCCAGCCTCAGCTCACAAGCTGGTGCACCCAAATGCAGGGCTCAGTACCTCTATCGACACGTTTTTATTGATTACCCACCCCCGCCCCCCTCCTTCGGGTCATCGCAGACTCACCCAAGCAGTGTCTGCAGCTTCCCGGTCAGCGTGGAGAAGGCCACGTGCAGCTCTGTGAGCTGCGTCATCCCACTGAGTGCCTGGGAGATGGAGGCGAGCAGTGGCTCCCTGCTGTCGGGGGCGGGGGTGCCGGCTGGGGGTGCGTCAAAGGCCTTGGCGGGCAGGGTGAGCGAGACCAGCCGCGGGAAGCCCCCCTGGGCCAGAAGTTGCTGCACATGGCCCGCGTGCAGACGCACGTTGTGCACCACCTCCAGACGGCGCAGCTCGCGAGGCCCTGCCAGGCGCAGCACGTGCAGCAGCTGCCCGGGGTCCAGGCTATCTGCCCGCAGTGAGAGGCAGCGCACGCGCAGAGGGCTGGGGCCCACCGGGCCCAGGGCACGTGCCACTACCTCAAAGTTGCCCGCAGTGATGAAGACATCGGCCAGGACCTCAACGGGGTGCCGGGCGGCGCAGGGCTGCGACTGCAGCTCACAGCAGGTCCTGGCCAGCAGCTCTGTCCGGCCCCACCTGCCCAGTGCCCGCCCACAGGGGCACCTCTGCACCTGCACATCTCGGATGCCCGTGAGGTCGGCCACCCGCAGCCGCCGGCGGCCCCCACCCTGGAGCAAATGGTCGGCCAGGCCGTGCACGCAGGCCTCCAGGCAGGCCCGGCAGGCCCGGTCCCGCAGGTCCCCCGCATGGTCTGCACTCGGACCCAGCAGAGGGCCCAGCCGGAACTCCTCCAGCGGCCAGCGCTCCAGCAGAAGGCGGATCACAGCGGACTGCTCCAGCAGGTAGCTGGCTTTGAAGAGCAGTGGATATAGATTGTGGGCCACGGCGTCCAGGCTCTGCTGGGCCCCCGGGGGGTGGGACACCAGGGCCTCCGCGGAGATGAAGCGCAGCGACTGCATGGCTCACCTGCAGCCTGGGACAGGACCGAGCTGCCCCCTGTGCTTCTGACAAAGACCAGGCCACTTCTTGCCTATTTTTAGCTGCAGCTGCTGCAAGCAGCTTGCCTTAGACGGGGTGGGGAGCCAGCCCTCTGGTCATCTGATGGCTATTTTTGTCCTGGGTGCCCATTTGGCTCTGGCTGTGGAGGCGTCTGGCTGTGTCTGGCGTGTCTTGCAGACACTCAGCTGGGGAAAGCTGAGCTCCTCCGATGCTTGGCTGGGGGAGGGCACGGGCCCCTGGAATTGCCGCCAGTGTCCACTTCTGGGGTGGCCTGTCCTGGGGGCACCCATCCCCTCCAGGGAGTGGATCTGCCCCAGCCCTGGGCGGGCTCCACAGCTGGAAGGACCAGCAAGCCTTTCCTTGGATCCCTGGGCCTGAGTCCCTCCTTGGCCCTGCTTCCAGAGTCAGGGATGTGGCAGTGAGCACGGGTTGGCCTCTCCAATGACTGTCTCCTTATTTTAGGAGAAGATAAAGGCCCCTGAGGGGCTTAACCCTAACCTGACTTCATTGTCACTGAGGACCCAGGCTGGGAGCCATCCACCCCCATCCCACACTCGACTGCACTCCCACCGGTCCATGTGCCCCCAGCTGCGGGGCCTCCTTGAGCAGAATCCCCTGCAGCCCTGGGACCCATGCAGTATGTGGGGCTACAGGTGAGGTGGGGACCCTGGGATCCTGACACTCCCACAGCCTGGAGCCTGGGTCCTCACTCTGGAGGGTGGCAGAACGTGTGCCCCTGAACACGCAAGAGTATTCTGAGCTAAGGGTGCTTGGATCCCCTTTCTTCCTGAACGCAGGAAGGTGAGCCACCTTCCCTGAACTGGGAGGAGAGAGACAGTCTCATTGCCAGAGAGAGTCAGGATAGTTCCTTGTTAATGTTACTGCCTTGTGTGTTGAGTTACTTTCCCACAGTCACCTCGTCTCTCAGCTTAGTCCAGAAACACTTAGGCAGCTAGGGTCTTCATCTCTTTATGAGGGCTCCCATGTCATAAAAGCTTACATGAAATAAATCTATGTGCTTTTCTCTAGTGACTCTGTTCTTTGTTACAGAGCCCCAGACCAAGATGGGCAGGGAAAAAATTCTTCCTTCCTACAGCTCCCAGCTCTGATGGGTGTTAGATCATCATCCAGTGACTTGATGGTGCACGCTCCCTCCCGACTTCAGCATCTTTTAGGAGCTGATAGACTGTCCATACAATCCCTGATCTAGGGAGGGGACAAGGAGGACAGAAAGAGAGACAGAAAAACAGAGAGACAGAGACACAGCAAGACAGATCAAGAGACAGAGGAGGGGAAAGGTGGAAAGGACCCTGGGAGGGGAGGGTCAGGAGCCACTGGACTCCAGGAGGTGGGGTCTGGTAGGGGTGCAGGGGTGTGGGGGTGGGGTAGGAACTTGAGGGTGTGAGTGAGCATAGGGCTGGGGCTGCCATGCCTGGGGACCCACGTGGGCTGGGCCCTCCACCCCTCTGCCTGGGTCGGACCCCCCTCAGGGACAGTTCTGCCTGCTGTTTCCCTGGAGCCTCAGCAGTGCCTCCCTTGCGGGGTCATGGGGAGGTGTCATGCTCCAGGGGGGACCCCAGTATTGTCATGCAGGCAATGTGTGTGTGGAAAGTGGTGGGGGACCTCTTCTGATGTCCCCCCTGCCCCCCACAGGGCAAGAAACAAGGATGTGAACCAGGCAGACCCCAGGGGGCTTCTGCTGCCCAGCGCCCCATCCCCCAAAGTCATGGGGGTTGAGGTCCCTGGGGGAGGCATATCGATGATGACCCCGATGCAACAGAACCAGTAAAGGAAGCACATGCATGTATTAGAAAACAGTCCCATTTATTTATGGTCCTAAAATTTGGAATGGGGCTTCCCAGGTGGCACTAGTGGTAAAGAACTTGCCTGCCAATGCAGGAGACGTAAGAGATGCAGGTTCAATCCCTGGATGGGGAAGATTCCCTGGAGGAGGGCATGGCAACCCACTGCAGTATTCTTGCCTGGAGAATCCCATGGACAGAGGAGCCTGGTGGGCTACAGTCCAGAGGGTCTCAAAGAATTGGACAAGACTGAAATGACTTGGCACAGCATATAAAATTTGGCATAGCCAGCATTGAAGCAGGGTAACAAGAAACAGAATTTACAGCGGCCAGCAGAGCACAAAGCTGAGGCCCCTGCCCTTCCAGTTGCTCCTGTCCAGGGGGTGATATCTGATGCCGCCCCCCCCGGGGGGCCTGGGGGACCTGCAGGAGGAAGCACACTGAGGGCGTCCACTCAGGCTCTCCTGCCTGTGGTGAAGGGGCTCAGGGCCGTGTCCACAGTGGCAGGACTTCCCTACAGAGGCTGGTGCGGACCTTCAACCCCAGCTGCTGTGCCCTTTCCCCACCCCACCTGGGGTCCCCCAGGACATGGGGATGCCGTGTCCTGACTCACGGGTGGAGCCAAGTCAAGTGCTGCTGGCCCCACACAGCTTGTTCGAAGGAAAAGGAATCCGAGATCCCAGCTAGACTCAGGAAACTCCCCCTGCACCCGGGACACACTTCATGGGGGCTGTGCCTGGGGAGAAGGTGCTCTTTAGGGGTCTAGGGCCTAATCCGTAGGTGGGAGTTGTTACCATTTACTAAGTTGGGAGAAACTTGGGGAGAACACCCAGATGCTCTTCTGGGATTTGGGGCCTGATCGGAAGGTGGAAGTTTGCACCATTTACTAAGATGTGTGAGACGTGGGGAGAAGACACACTCACACTGAGATGCTGTTTAGGGGTGTGGGGTCTGATCAGTACCTGGAAGTTGGTACCATTTACTACCATGGGAGGGACTTGGGGAGAAGCAGACACACTAACTCTGAGATGCTGTGCAGGCCTTTGGGCCTGATCAGTAGGTGAAAGTTGTTACCATTTGCTAATATGGCAGAGACTTTGGGAGAAGAGGACACACACACACACAGATTCTGTTCAGGGGTTTGGGGCCGAATCAGTAGGTCGACGTTGGTACCGTTTATTATGATGGGAGAGACTTGGGGAGAAGCAGACACACTAACTCTGAGATGCTGTGCAGGCCTTTGGGCCTGATCAGTAGGTGAAAGTTGTTACCATTTGCTAATATGGCAGAGACTTTGGGAGAAGAGGACACACACACACACAGATTCTGTTCAGGGGTTTGGGGCCGAATCAGTAGGTCGACGTTGGTACCGTTTATTATGATGGGAGAGACTTGGGGAGAAGCAGACACGCTGACCCTGAGATGCTGTTCATGGATTTGGAAAGTGATCATGAGGTGGAGGTTGGTACCATTTACTAAGGTGGGAGAGACTGGGGGAGAAGAGGACACACTAACAGAGATGCTCTTTAGGGGTTTGGGGTCTGTTTGGAAGGTGGAAGTAGGTACCATTTACTAAAACGGGAGAGACTTGGAGAAATGAAGACACACTAACACTGATATGCTCTTCAGGGGTCTAGGGCCTAATCAGTAGGTGGAAGTTGGTACCATTTACTAAATTGGGAGAAACTTGGGGAGAATAAGACACACTAACACTCAGATGCTCTTCAGGAATTTGGAGATTTTTTAAATGATGGCCATTGTGACCAGTGTGGTCCCATCACTTCATGGGAAATAGATGGGGAAATAGTGGAAACAGTGTCAGACTTTATGTTTTTGGTCTCCAAAATCACTGCAGATGGTGACTGCAGCCATGAAATTAAAAGACACTTGCTCCTTGGAAGGAAAGTTTTGATCAACCTAGAATAGCATATTAAAAAGCAGAGATGTTACTTTGCCAACAAAGGTCTGTCTAGTTAAGGTTATGGTTTTTCCAGTGGTCATGTATGGATGTGAGATTTGGACTGTGAAGAAAGCTGAGCACCGAAGAACTGATGCTTTTGAACTATGGTGTTGGAGAAGACTCTTGGAGTCCCTTGGACTGCAAGGAGATCCAACCAGTCCATCCTAAAGGAGATCAGTCCTGGGTGTTCACTGGAAGGACTGATGCTGAAGCTGAAACTCCAGTACTTTGGCCACCTCATGTGAAGAGTTGACTCACTGGAAAAGACGCTGATGCTGGGATGGATTGGGGGCAGGAGGACAAGGGGACGACAGAGGATGAGATGGCTGGATGGCATCATCGACTCGATGGACATGAGTTTGAGTAAACTCTGAGAGCTGGTGATGGACAGGGAGGCCTGGCGTGCTGCGATTCATGGGGTCGGACACGACTGAGTGAATGAAATGAACTGAGCTGATTGTGACCAGTGGGTGGTGATGCCTCATTGTAGTTTTGATTTACATTGATTTAGTAGTTAGTGAAGTGTTTTTGCATGTGTTCTAATACTTTACCTGTTGTGAATACAATTTACCTCTTGAAACTGGCTTCTTATGTTATGCCCGCTGTCCGAATCCCCCAGTGGGAAAAGATAAGACCTCCATGACAATGCAACACGCAAAGGAAGGGAAATTTATTGCTGACTCGAGCCAGGGCCCCTGCTGCAACCAACGCAGTGGTGCAAAGTCAGAGAGCCCCGAGCCCCAGTTTCCACGCACATTTATAGGGTGCTCGATTTCAAACATAAGCAGTGGGTAGTGGGTGCAAGCGGATTGATTACATGTTTGCAAAGCAATTTTATTGGTACAAACTTTCACGCACGCAGGACTTCCCAGGGGACCTTCTCGGAGGTTTACTGGGCGCGTACTGATTAGCTGGTCTCTGGTGGCCTGTTGAGGGCAGATAATTACCCTACCCTTGGGAGAAACTGAAACTTAGGCCTACTCTTAGTTCAGGGAGCCTGTCATGGTGCTAGTCTTGACAGTCTCACACTTAAAAGTCAGCCCTGTTTTGAAGTATTTTTTGTTAATTAACCCAGGGACACTGCTTGAGGGCAGGTGTCCTTTACAGCCGCAAAGGCCTTGCAAATATTAGGAGCCCATCAGTTCCAACAAAAAGATCAAACCAGTCAATCCTAAAGGAAATCATCCCTGAATATTCGTTGGAAGGACTGATGCTGAAGCTGAAACTCCAATACTTTGGCCACCTGATGCCAAAAACTCACTCATTGGAAAAGACCCTGATGCTGGGAACGATCGAAGGTGGGAGGAGAAGGGGACGACAGAGGATGAGATAGTTGGATGGCATCACCGACTCAATGGACATGAGTCAGGGTAAACTCTGGGAGTTGGTGATGGACAGGGAGCCTGTGCTGCAGGCCATGGGACACGACTGAGCGACTAGAACTGAACTGAGCTGAGCTGTGCTGCAGTTTTAAAGGTGTTGTTATGGGAAACTGCCACAAGGGAGCTGCATTCCTTCATGCCCAAATCAGTTTCCTCAGGCAACCAGAGCCTTAAGAGTTAGAGTTCCTGTTGTCAATTGGAGTGAAATGTGCCAGAAGTCACCAAAAGCTGTGTCTCTTGACTTGTGTAACAAAGGTGTTTTTTTTTTTTCCCCCACAGCTGTACAGAATTATTGTAGGTGGGCTTCCTGGTAAAAAAATCCACCTGCAGTGCAATGAAAGAGTTTCAGGTTTGATCCCTGGGTCAGGAAGATCCCCTGGAGAAGTGAATGGCTACTCACTCCAGTATTCTTGCCTGGAGAATCCCATGGACAGAGGACCCTGACAGTTACAGTCCATGGGGTTGTAAAAGAGTTGGACGTGACTTAATGACTAAAGAACAACAACAATAGTTATACCCATGGATATGTCTGATGAGCTTAGTTTTTTTCACATATAGGTGTTTAGTACTTTCCTTTCTGTACAGTAGGTCCTTGTTGATTAATCTACTTTGTATGTATTAGCGTGTATAATTCAGTGCCAAACACCTGATATATCTCATGCCCCTTCTTTCTTCTTTAGTAACCATAAGCTTGTTTTTTAAGTTTCTGAGTCTATGTGTATTTTCTCAGTTAATTCATTGATGTGTGTTCTTTAGAGTTCACTTACAAGTGGTATTGTGTCCAGATTATTCCTAACCTCCTAATTTATGCCTTTCCTTCTTTTTTCTTTGTAAATATGCTTGTTTTCTAAGCTCTTGAGTATGTTTATGTTTTCCCAATTAAGTCGTTGGCATATATGTTAAGATTTTAAGTGATATTTTATTATATTTGTCTTTTCATTCCGACTTATTTCAATCAGTATGATTATCCCTAAGATTTATCTATGCTCCTGCAATTTTTTTCCATTCTTTTTCATGGCTGAGTCATATTCTATTGTGTACATATATCAC